TAAAATGGTTATTTAAAAAATATTCATGTACATATGATGAAGCAAAAAATTCAAGATATTTTTTGTTTATAAAGAATAAAATAATATGATAGAAAAATATAACAAAAAAATATAAAAATATTTAAAATCTAATAGTATTAGAAAGTATAAATTATCTATATTATTTTTGTATAGTTGAAAGTATTATTCATTACTTAACTATTCTACATATCCTTTAAGAAGACAAAGTAGTCAAAAGATTAAATTTTTCATTGTTGGAGAAGAAAAAATTATATTAAATATTCATGGATTGAAAAAGAGTTTTTAAAATGAAGTTGTAAATATTCTAAGAATTTTAATGAATCATTCTTTATCTATTGCAATGAAATCTAAAGTACTTAAAGAATTATAGAACATAAAATTTATAAATTATTCTATTTTATTATAAAACATTATCATAGATATTTGATGCATAATATATGTATTTATGTTTGAAGATTAAAATTAAAAACCAAAACCAAAACTAAAAATGAATCTTAAAGATACAATATATATATATATATATATATATATATATATATATATATATATATATATATTTAGATTCATACAAACTATGAGATTCAAGTATAAAGAAGATAATTACAAGAAAAGATTTAAAGTTTAAAAAAATCTATCCAATTCATAGATAATAATCTATATAAGATAAAAAATAATTTAATCACATCTAATATCTTTAAGATAGAGATTGATGTTCTTAAATCTTTACATATCTTTGAAAAAACCTCAAGTTTTACTAGAAATAAAAAAATTAATAATTAAAAGTATCAAATCTAAAATTGTAAAGGTCAATAAGAAAAAAAAAAAAATTGAAATTTGGCTATTTAAAAAAAAAAAAAAAAAAAAAAAAAAAAAATCAAGGAATGATAAGTCTTCTATGTTTAATGAAGCTACACAAGCTAAAAATCAATGTAAGTAGAAAACATCAATAAACAAAGAAATGGAGTGTCTTTATGAAAATTAGACATAAGATTCAAAATAATTATTTAAATAAAAAAATTAATTATATATATATAGTTTTGATTCAACCTACAAATACACCTTAAGTTGTTATATGCACACCTATTATGTTCATGGATATACCCAAGGATTTTGATTGGCTCATCTAAATCCTTTTTTTCTTATCTTGGCATGAACCCCCCTCTCTTTTCTTTTCTCCCTTATTTCAATGTAAATCTAATCCCTCTTTCTCTTCATTGTCTTGACAGACATTCCAATCCTGCATATGAATCATATACCAACCTGTTTATTAGCTTCCAAATACTTTATATAAATTTCCTATTGATATGAAAGCAAACAAATGCAGAATAAATTTAGTGCACTTTCTTAAAATTGTTGTTATTACTACGCCAAGACATGATTTTGAGTGAAGATTTTCCATGATAATCAACTCAAAGTGAGTTTCTATACTCAAAATCTTACAACTTAGTCATCTTTATTATTTGAAAATAACCAAAATATTGTATAGATCCATTGTCTTTCAAAGTCATTTGGTTGTTAATTTCTAGCTTAAGAAACAAAGTGCATATCAAATTCTGTTGCATCATATTTATCAGAGAGGGATTGTTGAGCTTTGTTGGATGAATGTCTAGAAGAAGAGTTCTCTCATAAGATGGAGTAGACGAAGAGTCAAACATTGTACTATTGACCAAGAATTGAAGTACTTGTGAATACAATTTATTTATATAGATGATGCCAAAAGGCGGGATTAATATACCAATAAGAGATTGGGAAGTATAATATGAATTGAAAGAAGTATATTAAAATAGATAAAATTGGTATTATCTTGTATACAAGTTTTTTAGAAGCTCCATAAATGCAACTTTGATTTTATATGTGTTTGTAGTTGATTGGTAGCTTGTAAATTTAGCCAACAAATTAAGTATGTGTTGTACATGTTGGTAGCTTATGATACAAACTAACCATGTGTTGCACATGTTGGTATCTTCTTTCATGCTATCATTGGAGTTGAATGTCATTGAGCCTTCTATTGCTAGTATTTGGATGTTGGACAAGCTTAACACCAAAGCAAATGTTGTAACTAGAAAATCCTCTAGCTAGAAAGTTTTCTAAAAATGTATGCTACCATTTTCTTGCAAGAAGTCTCAAGTTAAAGAAACTATTAAACTCTAGCATCACAAATTACATAAAATCCAGCCCATCAAGTTCCAATAAAATAGCCTAAATTGAACATATGTACAAAATAAAAGAAATATTGGTAATTATGTATAGTTAACACTATATATATATATATATATATATATATATACAATGATCTTTGAAATGACAATAATCACTTATTGTGTAGCTTCTACTTTCACATAGTTGGATCAATTATCTTTTAAATTTGAAGATGGTTCAATTGTTATTTCAAATTATTTTGCTGAAGGACATATTATTGTATGCAATTGGCTGCTTGGAAGTTAGGACATAGACAAAAGGCATTGATAATTGGATAGCAGCATCATCTAAAGTTTTTTGGATTATGACACCAATTTGATGGTATGACAGTTTTGCAAGTCCTTTATTTTAGCTATAAAAAATAAAAAATAAAAAAATAAAAAATAATGATTTTGATGGTCTTAGTTTTATATATATATATATATATATATATATATATATTACAATAATAATAATCATAATAATAGATAATTGTAAAACTTAGAACTTAAAGATCATCATTCATTGATACCAACTTTGACACTGTCTCATTAATCTCATAGCTCATCAATAAGATCAAAGATTGCAATCCCACCCTTTGTGGTCCTAATCCAAATTTAAGGTGGCGGATGCAAAATCCATCAATTGAATTGCAAAATTTTAGATTCTAAAATTAGTATTAAATTTGTATAATGGACTTGCTTTCGGTGATCTTTATCCCGAGCCATTTGCTTCTAGTACACTCTTATTCTAAGCATTTCTATTGACAATATTTTTCTTTTCCGAATTGATTTCCATGCCATTAAGAGTCTCTTCCATAATCTACATCTCCTTGTTTTTATGAAGAGCAAGAGATAGATTCAGCTCTATCTTTAAAGATACAACATTATCAATTGCAATTTAACTCAAAACTTATTATGCTTTGTAATTTTTTTAAAAAAATTAAAATTATTTCAATGTTGAGAATAATGAGATTAAAACCTAAAATATCTCAATTAAAGATACATATAAGAAGAAAAAATGGATCTTGAAAAAATTAAATGCATTACCAAATTAATATCAAATCTAATTAAAAACAAAAATATTTTTGATTCCATTGAATAATTCTCTTGTATTGATCATCAGGTCCTTTAAAATGTCCACTTTTGTTTCTTATTGATGCTATTCTTGATGTTGCTGTTTGTATTTTTTCAAGAATTATTTGCCTTCAATGTATACTTTTTTCTTTGATTCTTCTGGATCATCTTCTTGTTGAATAGCCAACTGCAATTTGATGCACTCTTGGTATTCTTCTTCATCTTCTTCTTCTCTGTAAAAATTCAAGAAACAAATAAGAGTATTATAAAAAAATTGTCAACTATCGACAAATTGAATTGATCTTGCATATAAATGATTGCAACCTAGAATGAAGAACAATCTATGCACAATTCAAAATTTGTATTCTAAAAATTGATACTTGAGGGCAAAAATAAAATAAAAAATAAATAAATTATATTTCAAAACATTTAAGTAATATTCACAACATTCATAGATTCATTTAGTCTGTCCAAAAGAATAAAAACCTTGTATGTGGTAATATAGGCATCAAATTTAGAATGAATTAATAGCAATCATGAAGGCTTGATATTGAGCTCTTGAATCAAATATAGGTACCCCATTGATTATTTCCTTTTGGTCTATCTTCTCAAAAAGACTTGTATGCAAGTGCACTTTGATCAAGGTAATGTCCTAGTTACAAACCTATGTAGTTGTTGCACCTAGACATCTTCTAGAGATTTTTACATACAATTGAAGTAGGAAAAAAAAGAAAAAAGAAAAAAAACAAACAAACAAACAAACAAACAAAAATGTAGAAAATAAATGCAAAAATCCTTGGGGGTTTCTCCAAAAATTAATCAAACAATTTAAGTTCAGATTTCTCAAGAGTAGGGGAACCAAAGAGGAGGCTTTGGTAAAGAAGTAGTTTTCAAAGTCTCAACAATTCTAACAACCTCAACCACTTTGCATTCTTGAAGTTCTTTAAGTTTCTTCTCAACCGCCAATCAAATTGTATTTTTGTCTCTTTATCTTATATTTAAGCTATCATCTATATATATATATATATATATATGATTGATTAATTGATCCAAACAATTATTAAATCGACCCATCCATCCTAGCCATCAAATAAAAAATCTCCACTACTAGATCATATATTGGTTGAAAACCAATGAAAAATGGTTAGATCCACAACCAATAATGATGGGTGGATCAATTTAATAAATGCATGGGCCGATTTAAAAATTTCCTATACATATATATATATATATATATATGTATATACGTATTGGGTTTTATAAATAAAGGTCGTATACATCAAGAGTGTTCAAATACACAAGAAGTTGACTTTGAGAAGTGTCAACAAGAAACCCAATACGACCCGAATCCTACTCGTTTTCTTGTTGGAACATGCTCTCATTCGTCGAGACAGATCAGCATCAACGGCATGGAATCCTCCTCCGGAACGGATAACGCTGAAACCCAATACCCTGCCATGACGACGGGCAGAATCCGGATATCATCTCATACTCGATCAGGCTAGAGGATCGTGTCCTGGTGCCATCGTCTGAACTGAAGAAGTGCCGCAATTGCAGCTACCGTTGCTCGAATGTGATGAACCTTCGGTGTCGAGGATCGACAAAGGGACACTCGCCCGTTGGAAAATTTGCCGCCGTGAGTACCGTGAGTACCGTTCGTCGTGCCTCCAGTCCACTTCCATGTCTATCTGCTCCATGTCGATATCTAAGTGCACCGTGGTACTGTCTCCGATTGATAGGACGGCAATGGCCACTGTAGAAGTGCTGTGTGTTTAGGGTTGCGCTATTGTGCCCTTGTGTTGCGTTTCACCCTCTCTGCCTCTTGTGTCTTTTCGCTCAGTGCACTGAATCAGCTATTTCGTCTCTTTGGTGTTGTGCTGGGAGACAATGAAGTGCCTCAGTCTTGGATGTTGTAAGTTGTTGTCTAATTTCGTTCTGTTTCGCTGTGTTATCCGTCTTGTTGCTGTTTAGGGTCCTTCTTGTCTTTTGATCAGGTGGGTTTTCTTACAAGTTGCAGTCGTGATGAATAGATTGGCTTGGTATCGCATTCTTGTAAAGTGGTGAGGATGCGATGGTAATTGCTGTAAGATAATTAAACAAGTTAAAAATTATTAATTTGACGTGCTATTTGGGTTTTTGTGTTGGTTTTTATTTATATATTTATATTTAGGGGGATGGCGGAGATCGTATTGCTTGTAATGCTTTGGTGATAAACTGATGGCAAGGGGCTGTCGATGAGATTTCCTTTGTTAATTGGGTGCATTAGCATAAGATTGATTCTAATATAAACAACATCAATGTCAGTTAATTATTATTTACACGAATTCAGCTCCGACCTTTTTCTTGCTGATTTACCACAGGTTGTGAAGCATGCAATTAGTGATAACCATGCATACTGTAGATATTGAGTGTGTAGGGAGAGATTCTCTATTATAACTTGGGTTTTTCCAGGTTCTGTTTTGCAGACTTGTTGGAAAGTAGCACGTCAAAATGGGTCTTGATGATGGGACTTCCAGGAAGGACGACATCGAAAGTGATAGAATTGAAGAGCCATTACTGGACAAGAAAGATTATACATTGAGAGGCTATCAAAACCAACCGGATTCTGTTGTGTCGATACCTTCTTCTCAGGAAGGATCAAGTGTATTCGGCTACAATGTGGGTGTCAGACCTTTCCAGGACGTCAGTTTCGCTATTATCTTCCTACTGCTTGTTGTTATATCAGTAGCTTTTGGCATCTATGGAGTGGTTCACTCCAACTCTGAGTATCAATGGGTTGAGACCGCCCAGTACGAGCCAAAGCAACAAACCTGCTCCATTCCAGAAGGTATGCTTTTAGAGCCAATGCAAGCTAGCGATGCCAAATGGCAGATTGCGTATGTCATCATGCCCCAGAGATTGAAGAACTTGCTTTTCTCAAGCAGGGCACCTTCTGCAACACCTATTTGGATCACTTTGGGTATAGCTCTTGTTCTGAGTGGTCCATTCGCTTTGGGGGTTCTATTCCTGCTACGAGTATATACGAAGGAGCTTGTATATGCCACTCTACCCCTCATCATCCTACTCCCCATAGTTCTTAATCTGACTTGGTTCATCCTCTGTCAGCGTAGTGAAGAGTGTCTTAAGGAGTTTGACCCCGCAGGACAGTACGTATTATTTGGGATTATTCTTCTCATGTGTGCACTCATGATCTATGTGATTTATTCCAACTGGGACCGTATTCAGCTTACTATACGGATAGTCAAGACTTCGTCTGAGGCTTTACATCAAAACCTTGCTCTTCTATTTGTCCTCCCTGGTTTATCACTTGTATTAGTTGTATTCTGTGTGCCATTTGTCATCTTCATAGGGTATTCCTACACAAATGGGAAGGTTGTGCCTAACCCAGACGTATTAGCGGGCGAAAGCATTCAATGTGCCAGGGGTACAGACACCCCATGTTGTGTTTGGCAGACTGCTTCATGGGTGCCATATTACATGTATCTTTCCGGATTTTCCGTTCTTTGGTCTTCGACGATAATGGCCCAAATCCAGGTCTTCACCATCAGTGGTACAATCTCTCAGTGGTACTTCGCACAAGCAGGATCTTCTGCCATGAACTCCACAAGGCGAGCATTGAGGTACGTTAGACTAATATTTTCTTTCATGTTGCGAATTTGGAGTACATTTGGAGTACATTTTGATACCTTCGAAATAGAATTCTCAACATTTTCCATCCCATATATTATTGGGGTGGAAGAGCAAAATTATCAGTGTTTCTGTTTTATGAGGTCTCAAGCTGAGTTGATTTTCTGAATGCACCAATCTTACTATGCTTTGCAACGTCCCATTTGTGTTTCAGTGTTGCGTTTGGGCCTTCATTCGGAACAGCCTGCCTTGCTGGCCTTGTCGTTGCAATCGTGCGAATTATTCGAGGTGCAGCTAACAGTACGGACAATGAACAAGCCCAAGAGAGCGCACTTGCTATTTTTCTGCGTGCTTGTCTTCAGTCGATTCTCGATGCTGTTGAATTCTTCACCAGATTCACAACAAACTTCGCAGCCATTACTGGCGAAAGCTTTTGTAACTCAGCTTCCATGACATATAATCTTTTGAAGAGGAATTTGCTATCAACAGTGCTTGTGGAAATTATTTCGGATCGACTTCTGGCCATGGTGACATTCGTCCTAACTTTAGTATATGCACTGCTGGTAAGTCAAGTTCCGTGCTTGGCTCAGCGTCTTGTTTCCATGTTCTTTCTTGTACCACTGTTGAGCCCAAGCGCACTATCTCTCTCAATTTCGGGGTGTATCTAAGCGGTCGACAAGGCGTCTTTCCTTCGTTCTTGCATCTCATCAAGGTGTGGAGTGTTGCTCTTGTCTCTCGATATGTACTCATATTTTGCTGTGTGTGCAGATATACGGAGTTCTATCTCTTTCAACAAGCCTAGCTAAGGACCAGAAGCTGATCGCAGCTGTTCTGAGTTGGCTAATTGTGTTCTTGGTACTCGTCCTCTTTGTGCGAGTCCTGAGCAACATTATAGATACAGTGTACATCTGTTACGCCATGGACAAAGATCAAGGCGTGGTGTCCAAATCTGAAGTTCATGACGTTCTTGTCCTTCTTCCCGCTTCCCAGGAGGAGAATCCGTCCCTCGCCGTGCGACGCGAGAACTGATCACATCCGACTACCGAACACTCCGGTCCCATTGTCATGGCAGTCTGCTTCAGTAGTTCCGACTAGCAATGTACATTCTGAATTTTGTAACAATATTATGAGCAAATTATATCCAGAGTGTAAAACTTGCACTCCCCTTTGTCTGCACCAGATTGGTTTACTCCGACAAGAACATGTTCACAACCACTTCTATAACCTAAAAGGTACCCAATTCCCAAATGCACACGTCCTTGTTATCTGCTTTGTACATCAAACAATCGGAAATTTTTATTGAACAACACAACATTTCCACGAGAATGTGAAGGATTTGGTATTCTTCGAACTTGAAGTTGCTATGAAATAAGAGCAAGCTGTGAGCCCTCTGCTCTCGTCGGCACGTAGTGGGTCACTAAATGGTGAAGGTCGCCGCAGCACGGCATTGACTGTCTGCAGAACAAAATACACCCATCGCTTTCCAGGCTGGATCTGGTAACACTCTTCGCCTCGTGCCCGTGCCCGAACGGGTATCAACCATCACTTCCGACGCCTCGTGACGCCGCCAATAATAATGTAATCAACAATCCGCATTCTTCGCGCTCAATCTGAGGAAACGAAGCTCCTATTTATGCGCGCATTCATCACTGTGGCCATAGATTTCGATGAGGGTTCCAGCTTTTTATACCTAAATGTGGATCGCTTGTTGTTGGGAAACAGTTCGAAGGAAGAAACATATTCAAGCCCCCGGAACACCTGTTGCTGGAACGAGTTCGGTTGTGAGGGACAGGCCTGCTTTGTCTTGCCTTACCTTTGATGGTCAATTTAGTACTCCATGCTCTTTGCTCGTGCAATCGGAAGTACATTTGGAAATGGTCGAGTGGTTAAGCAGCTGCGTGACTTGAGGTTGGAGTTTCGGGAGCAGGTGTTGTGGCGTTTGTGGCGTTTGTGAGCAGGCTAGTGACATTGGACTACATGGGGGTGGATTTAGTTGCGATGGGGGGATAAGAGATGGATCGCGCATGTAGGCGATGATGCAGGAGAGGAGTCGGTATCATATTTTGGAAGGACTGCTGTGCACGTAATTGACAGGTAGTGGTGATCAGTGGGTTGCAGAGCAGCCTCAAGCGTGATTGGTTGTGGTTGTGTTCTTTGAGATTTGCGGGGGCTCATTGTTGTAGTTTGCGCGTGGCGCGAAGTTTTAGGGTTTGTTTCGTGAGGCGCACGATGGTGTGAAGAAGTGGAATACATTTGACTTTAGGTAGGATTGCAAGAATATCGTTCGAGTCTCACGTTGATTGGGTAATAGAGTCCTGATTCCGAGTTTATTGAAAGAGATTACTCCAGTTGTGGATGCAAAAACCTCACCACTTTCCAACCTGCCAGCAGTAAGTCTGTCGTCTCTCGTAATGCCAGTTGTGTTACAAAGTAATTTGCTGACTTTGCACAGATGATTATGCTGCAGAAGTCCTGCCTGGATATTCTTTAGCTTTTTGCCAACATCTTGTTTAGCAGCTTAAGAGTGTTCTGGCGGGCATTTTCTGCGCTGTGAATGTTTTCTTGACTGAGAATTCGATCTGATTAACTTTTCTGTCTGAAGAAAGCTTTGTCGAAGAGGGGAAATGTGATCCAACAGTGAAGAAACTCCTGATTTTGAGCAGTGCGGCCTCGACTCCCAAGGTAGAGTTTTATCACAACTTTGTTCAGCATCGGTTGTGATTCCGCCGCTGCTAACAATGCTGCTGCATACAGGTTACGTTAAGTAAATCTTTTGTCTTTAGTCACAATCACGTAAGTAACATCTGGATGCAGGCTACCAGGATGAGCAATTCAATGGATTCCCCGAAAGAGACTGACTTGTTTGAGAACATGGAGCTTCTTCAAGGAGGTTCAGACAATGCAGCGTATCGTCAGCTTGGACATGCAGAGGAACAAGGAGACGACTTGGAGGAATTCGAGATTTTAGAGCGTCCTCTGCCTAGATTTTGGCAGAGTCGGCGATGTCGGTGGATGGGACTCATTTGTCTTGCCATTGTGTTCCTTGGTGTTGCAGCTGTACTTCTCCATTGGTTAGCTCCTTTATTTTTAGACAAGGTAAGCTACTCTGTTTATTAATTTGCGCTTTGATTAAAACCAGAATTTCCATGTCAATTATGGATTACACTGTCAAATGCAGTATAAATATGATGGAAATTCATATGCATTGTCCTTCCGTGCAGGTTATTATACCATTGATGATATGGGAGTCTACTGAATTTTCTAAGCCTGTTTTGGCGGTGGTTCTCGTATGCTCACTTGCAATATTTCCCATGTTCATCCTTCCATCAGGACCTTCCATGTGGTTATCAGGCATGATGTTTGGATATGGATTAGGATTCCTTATAATTATGTCAGGAACTATGATTGGTCAGACCTTGCCCTACTTCATCGGACAATGGCTGTTGCATGATCGAATACAGGTCAGTACGTGTGTCATAGTTATTACATGCTTGTCCGCATTCAATTTTATTACCTTGTCGAAATCATGTTTGTCTTCTTTGATTTTGGAGCAGCCGGTATCTTGGAAGCTTGTCAATTATATGTCTATTTGAATCTTTTCCGCACCATTCTGAGGTTTCTTGCATCCGTCTCCAGATGTGGCTAACAAAGTATCCAAAGAAGGCAGCCGTGTTAAGAGTTGCTGAACAAGGGGGTTGGTTTCAACAAGTTCGGACAATAATGCTGTTGCGGGTCTCCCCATTTCCATACCCCTTGTTCAATTATGTCATCACTGTTACCAACATAAAATATGGCCCATATATCGTTGGTTCCATTTGTGGAATGGTTCCGGAGGCTTTCATTACAATATACAGGTATTATTTACTTAAATATTATCTTTACCAAGTGTAGTGTCTGTGGAGCAATTCCTTGGCTAGGACACCTGCAATTGTTTGTAGTGTGCAATTCAAGAATATTCTGGTATACTGCCTGGTCTAATGTTTGGTTTGATACGCTGTTGATTAAGATCGTGTCAAAAAAAGAAAAAAAGAACAAATCTTCCAAATGCGCAAAGAGCAATTTAGCAGTTTCTATTTCTTCCATATTTATTCTGTCGTATTGTCAGCCTAAATGGTCTTTCGTTTGGATTGTTTTCTTTTCCGATCGTCCCGGACCTGAACTGGATTGCGATTAATTTTTGCAGTGGGAGGTTATTGTTTACACTGGCCGAGATCAAACACAAGAACAGGCACATAACCCCCCTGGAAATTGCCTACAACATTGTGGGAGCATGTATTGCGGCAGCAACGGCAATAACAGCAACCATATATGGGCGAAGGGCTTTAAAAGAACTGGAGCTCAAGGAAGCAGCGGAGCGAGAAGCTTCAGGGCAGCTTTCTCAGCCCATGACAGATATTCTCTCGCAGTCACCGCCTTCTTTTAAGCATCCTATCACATGGACGGGTAATTCTTCATCAGACGCCTCACAACCACTAGCACAATCCCTCGAGGACTTCCCTCCTTCTATGTCAGAGCTTCCTACACATTCAAAGAAATAGCTATTTTCTTCTCCCGTATGTGGATTGCACGTTTGTTGCAAGTATGAGGGGGCACGAGATGTTTGCATGCAAACCTTGTGCGACAAATGATTAATTCATCTGCCTCAGCATTTATTGCACATGTTTGCCATTCGCCAAAGCTCCGAACCAACAGCACCTACAATTTGTGGTAGGACGATTGTATTGGGATTTGTGTAGTCGATGCAATAGTTGATTAGTTTTGGAGATGGCGCCGATCACATAAACTTTTGTACAGCTGTAGACTTGAAAAGCCTACCACAAATTTGTGTAGACTCTCCTAGGAAGTATTTAGCTATTATAATTAATTTCAATGTGTGCTTCAGAATCCTTGGAAAATTTCCACTGGCATATTATGGAAGTGATAATTTTGGTAAAGTCCTTTTTTTACAATTTTTGAATATGCACAGAATCAGCTTTACCGAAATTGTTCTTAGTTGCACGTAGCAGGTATTCGGATATATACCTATCATTATTGCCACTGCAATTCTGTTCTGCTACCTACTATGTCTTTGCAGAACCTTCAGTTTGGTGGTCTGGCGATCATTATGGGACAGAGCTTTTAAGTGAATTTATCTCTTCCGGTTCAAACCCCCTCTATTAAATTCTTGTGTTAGGAATGTCTTGCAACTTGAGACCTTCAAACAATCCTTGCGTTTTTACAACATGATTGCAATGGCGTACAGTATTGCCTGATGGGGCTTGCTATTTCACATCACTCTCAAGTCTGCAAGATGTAAAACAAAGAGCGCTGTCAAGACCAGCACAAAGTTGAGCTTGTATGTCTTCTTCAAGCTTTTCGTGCTCATATTTTGCTCGAACGGAAGAAGGAATTCCGAGGTATTATTGCTTCGTTGTGCAAGCTTTGAAGCCCTTGTTTGGCTTACAGGGTTTACCCCTGCGCTGTGAAGGAATGCTGTTGTATTGGCAACCGCGTGGGGCATTTCGAGAGAAACGAGTCGACTCGTTTGCCGGGCAATAATTTGTGGTAAAATCTATTTGGGTGTGTCAAGGGGAAGAGGAATTGGGTTGTCGCCAGTGCCACTCGATGCTTTCGTGCGCCTCCAAATCGGCATCCTAGAGGATTTGTAACCGCTTCTCAGATTGCGGATTGTCTCGCATCGGCCGGTCCCACGCGTAGTTAGGAAACTGACGTTGACGGAAGCGATGCGGCCGATTGATTCTCTTGAAAAGCTGAGGAAGAATCTTGCGTCCTTGCGTTGGGGACAAGCGGCATGGGTCCCTTTCGATGCAGTTCAGAGCCCTCGTTCCGAACATGTTCCTACCGGTATTCTCTCATCGGCATCGTTTTTGATGAATTTTGCATCATTCCCGAAGCCTGACAATTGAGAAATCTGTTGCTTGGTGATGCTATTTCTGTGGGTAGAGGTAGCTAGCGACCGTACGTCCTTGTGGGATGCAGTGCTAGTCGACTTGCATGGGATTTTTAGGTATACATGGTCACACTTCGTCTCCATCTTGCGAACCGCTAATTTGGTTTCCCTGTAGAGCTAGACCTTCACGACTCCCGTTCTTATTGCTTTTAGAGCAAATTCACTAGAGAGTATTAGAGTTATCGGCAACCTCCCCATCTTGACTTGTGTTACACTGCTGCAATTTCAAATCGAAAGGCTTACCAATCTTATACTACAAGAATTGCAAGTTTTATTTCCTTTTTCCAGGCCGCATGGGGTAAATCTGTGCTTGAGAGCCCAGGACTCATCATTCAGGTACTCGGCGCACATCCACAGACCAAATTGACCCAACTCCAGGTATTCCTTTACTAGCATTTTGCTAATTCACTATGCCATCTGCAAAACCTACTTTCCTCTCTACAATACTAATGTATTGGTAAGATTGTGAGAGTTGCTGGTGCTGAAGGCACACTCACGCTCAACTTTCGTGTCAGCTATTCATCTATCAACAGCAGGGTCCTCATTTCTTTCCCTCTCTCCTTTGTTACATTGACTGGTCTACAAGATCAGGACTTTTTCATGTGCATTAAGTTTGCAAAAGATGATGTCGATGTAGACAAGCAAGCAGAATTGGTAGAGATGTTGAAATGAAGCTTCAGTCTCTATGAAGCAGGGAATGTGTCTTGATCTGTGCGGCGTTTCTCTCTGCAATTCCTTGTGCTCACTACAAGTCATGCCGAGCTTCCCAGTCTGGTTGAGAAACCATGAAAAAACTGAAGCAGCAGCTAATATTTTGAAACATGCTTCAATTCTCACTGCTTTCTGTGCAGGTTGTTTGTTTTTCCAACTTCTGTAATTTGGGTGTGAGCATTAATTGAGTTGTTGGGAGTAATCACTATTTCACAACCGGCATGTAGACGTATCAATTGGTGTCGTAGGTTTGTATCCTGCACGAGGAAAGACATTTTCAAGTGAAGAGATTGGATTATTTCTGATTTGTAAGGCAAGGCATTATTGTGGCGTATTCATTTGATTAGTTTGTCTGGCGCACTAGTTAGTGATACTGAGTAAAGTGTTACAAATTTTACAACGGCCATCAAATGCTTGTAGCAGATGTCTACTAACATGGATGTTTGTTGCTTGATGTTACAGAAAAGTATGAGAAAATAGTCATTAACCATGTCTTGATAGTGTTATTGAATTTTATTTGAATGGTTGTTTCAAATGCTATGATCTTTCTTTCTTTCTTCCCTTTTTTTTTTTTTTTTTTTTTTGAATAAAGGTTGGGCAATAGTTGTGATGTTATAGCTGTAAGTTTAGGGTTGGATTTGAACTGTTAATCTTTTGATATCATTTTGGATATTGGGTACAATGTTGATATATTTTGGTAGTTTAAAGTTATTTTAGACCAAATAAAATAAGACATTCTTAATAAATCAAGGAAGATTGTTTTATTTGTGTTTTCATTGTGGTTGATGAAACTAAGTATGTATGTTTGTAAGTAACTAAAGTAAATGTATTATAGGTTATTGTTTTAAAAAATATCATAGTAATATGAATTTTTTTCTTTTATGAAAAGGTTTTAATTTAAATACTTTTTAGTCTATGAATTATATGGTATATTAAAGATGCATGCTTTACATGATAAATAAAATAAGATTTTATTAATATTATCTTAAAAAAAATACTTAAGAAATATTGCTTTTTAAGTAATTAGATTATGTCTAATTTTTCATGTAGTTTAAAACATCTACTTAAATTTATGTATTCACATCTCTTTTATTATAAATTAAGATGAGAATCTAAATCCATTAAGTTCATGCAATGATATTATTTTTTATAAAAAAATATTCTAATTAAGGATATCATTTAACTTATAAACATATAAGTTATAAACATATAATTTATCTAACTTGGTGTCCCAAAAAAATGCAATATAGATAGAAGTGCCATTTCAATATAAAATTATACATATTGCTAAAAAATTACAATTATTAATCTACAGAAATTCAAATAACACAAAGATTCTAAAAGTATAACAATTACACATTGTAATTTTTTATATAGATATATAAATATTAATAAGAATATTATAAATTCTTAACAATTTCAAAAAGTGGTTCATTAATAAATGAAAATATTTTTATGACATATTATAATATATATATATATATATAGAATTTTATATTATAAAGACAAACTATTTGAGTGTTTTTTTTAAAGTAATTTATTCAAGATAAATCAAAAAATTTATTTTAAATAACTACAATTATCAAAATTTATAAATAAATACTGAAGTATAACATCGAATATTATTATTTTTAATTAATTATATAAAACAAAATTCTTTGAACACTTGTGTGAGGTTAGCTATGAAATTGATCGAAACAGTAACCATTTGACCCGAACGTGCTCATAAGATACATAATTTTTTTTCATCTTAACTATAAAATCCACATTGTCCAATTAAATATGATACATGTGGTTATAAATACATAACTATAATGGATGTAGTGTTAAAGTGGCTATTTTAGATTTTCGTTATAAAATGAAAAAAAGAAAAAACTATTTAATACTCATTTATTTATAAATACATACATTTACTTACATCATTGTACAACTCTTCAAAAACTTAAAAAGCAAATAATAATACCCAGATGTGCTCAACGTCAAAAGAGATGTGAACGGATGAAAGAAGGGCGACGAATGAATGAAATCGCGGGCCCCGAACGAATGAAACATGTGAAATGTGATGAATGAGAAATCGGGATGATGGATAGAATATTCTCCAGCTTGTCTCGGAACTCAGCGTGGAAGCGAGATCCATTGACTGATTCGCAGGCATCCCTTTATAGTCTCCCTCCCTCCCTTCTTTCCTTCCCTTCCCTTCCCGTCCTTTCCTTTCCTGCAATCCCTACCTGCCCGATTGATTGGCAGCCTGACAGCGTGGGACTGCGTGCGTTGCGATGCGGAGGATTCGCGGGCTGGAAATGACAACACCATGAGGATCGGCATACTCACTCTCATTCGTCCCCCAATTCTCCTTACTTGTGCAGAGTGGCACGGGATGAAACAATCGAACGAACGAAAAAAGGAACGGATTAAGTGCCACATCGGATATGGAAAGAAATTCTTGCTGGAATCGACGTCGAGAGTTGCTGTTTCCGGTGCAGGAGAGGAGGAGCCAGATTCTTCTACTTGCGCCAGAAATGCCAGGCAGCAGCAGATGTAGCAGGCAACCAACGGATGTGACCAGCGGTAGGATTCCAGCAGTATTCTGTGACGCAGTGGGATCAAAATATCACGCACCCAGGTGAAACCAATTGGGCCAGACCACAGCATGGATGCGGGCTTTTTCCCCATCTTCGCTTATGCGGCACAAACTGGGGATAAATACCGAAGGAAGCTAGTTGACGAAGGAAGCGAATCGTGGGGGTGATGCAACTTACAGGGGCGAGTTTGCTAATCTGGACGGCCCTGGAGGTGGAGCCCTTTTTGCCCAGATTAGCTCTCCCCATGGATCCTAAAGTGAAAGAGCAGCAGCTGGACTGCAGCCCCCCCCCCCCCGAAGATGCGTCTGGAAGGCCCCACCGCCACACCTCCTTCGCTCACCCCCCCCCTTCCCCTCCCAGATCTACATTTGCTTCTTTAAACCCCTTGGCCCAGTGCACTTTAGCGTCATTCTCTCTGCTTCGTCCCGCTTCTCCTCTCTTGGTCTCGACTCCTCAAGCCCAGGGATCCTCTTCTTGTAGCTGCGGAGAGCGTCGCTTTGTTTCCTCGCAGGTATTCTACCCGGCTACGTCGTGGGTTTTTTTTTTTTTTTTTTTTTTTTTTTTTTCTTTCCTTCTTCTTCTTCTTCTCCGATGTATTGCTTGCTTTGGGTCTTGTTGGTGGTGCCGTATAAGAGAGTTGGGTTTTGGTGATTTCATGTGGCTCAGCGTGGGGTATTGTCTGGGTGTCAAAGGTGTGGATAAGATACCTCACTGCGGAGTTTTGGGTTGTTTCTTTCAACGAACTTTTATGTAATAGTGTTGCGTCAGTTGCTCTCGTTTGAGATTTTGCGGTAAGCACCAGGTTCACCTAAACCTGATTGTGCGAGTATAGGTTGTCTATTGGGGGCTTTTCTTGGAACCGTTGAACTAGCGATTGCCGCTTCACGGCCTAACTGTGGAGGGTTATTTCTTTTTCCTCCATTTCCCTCGTGGAGGAACTTGTGGTTTACTAGACGGCACTTTGAGAAGGAAAATGTGTTTCTCTGTCACTAGTGAGAATGGAGGGTGCCGGATCGACCTGTTTCTGGCACTCCCCGTCCAAAGTTTTCCGTAGTCAGCTTAGACGACATTGGGATGTACCTCTGCACTGTGATTTTACTACGAGATGCCTTATGTCGCCCACTGAGAATGATTAGATCCTCCTTCGTATTTTTATCAACGGTTTGTTTTCTTCGTTGATTTAAGCTTCATCTATTTTCTTAAGAAAGAATGCCAAAAATCTTTATGAACTGGTGGCATTCTTTTCTGTGAGGGAATTACATTACTTCCTGTGCCTTGTAGCTAGTAATCTCTTTCTAGCTAAGACCTGTATTCTTGTTTGGCTACAGAAAACATCGACAAAGGAATCATGGGTGAGGAGGCAGTCGAGTACAAGGTCGCCGAGTGGGGAAACCAGTCTCTGGAGGTTGCTGACGAGGAGATTTACAACCTCATCGAGCATGAGAAGGTGCGCCAATGCCGGGGCATTGAGCTCATTGCTTCCGAGAACTTCACATCTCAGGCCGTGATCGAAGCTTTGGGGTCCGCCCTTACCAACAAGTACTCAGAGGGGCTCCCCGGAGCCAGGTACTATGGTGGTAATGAGTTCATCGATCAGATCGAGAACCTGTGCAAAGCCAGGGCGTTGAAGGCTTTCCACTTGGACAGCGAGAAGTGGGGTGTGAATGTACAGCCCTACTCTGGCTCCCCTGCTAACTTCGCTGTTTACACTGCGCTTCTCAACCCTCACGATCGCATCATGGGCCTGGACCTTCCCTCGGGGGGTCACTTGACTCACGGATACTACACATCTGGCGGGAAGAAAATCTCTGCTACTTCAATTTTTTTTGAGAGCTTGCCTTACAAGGTGAACTACGAGACTGGATACATCGATTACGAGAAGTTGGAGGAGAAGGCAATGGACTTCCGTCCTAAGATGATTATCTCTGGAGGAAGCGCATATCCTAGAGACTGGGACTATGCACGGCTCAGGACTATTGCTGATAAGGTTGGAGCCCTGTTGATGTGCGATATGGCACACTACAGTGGTCTCGTGGCCGCCCAGGAAGTGAACCAACCATTTGATTACTGTGATGTGGTGACCACCACGACCCACAAGAGTCTGAGGGGACCCCGCGCGGGAATGATCTTCTACAGGAAAGGCCCGAAGCCAGCGAAGAAGGGACAGCCAGAGGGCGCTGTCTACGACTACGAAGACAAGATTAACTTCTCCGTCTTCCCATCCTTGCAGGGAGGACCACACAACCATCAGATCGCTGCTTTGGCGGTTGCGCTCAAGCAGGTGGATACTCCTCTGTTCAAAGCATACGCGAAGCAAGTCAAAGCCAATGCCAAGGCTATTGGAGAAGCATTGATGAAGAAGGGATACAAGATGGTGACTGGCGGCACAGAGAATCACTTGGTTTTGTGGGATCTGCGACCTCTCGGACTCACTGGAAACAAGGTGGAGAAAGTGTGTGAGCTTGCCCACATCACATTGAACAAGAATGCCGTATTCGGTGACAGCAGTGCTTTGGCCCCTGGTGGTGTCCGAGTTGGTAAGCGACTGATCCAACAGTGAATGGCTGCATAATCGTCTAGTTATTTTCTCGCCGTATGTGTATCTAGCCTTTGGAATAGTGGAGATAACTTCAGGTCTATTGGTGCAATTTGTTGTTTCACCGGGACCAGTGGAATGAATCCGAGACGACTTACGTGTCAAGATGTTTCTTGTGTAATTCTATGCTCACCTTGTGTACTACGTAAATTGACATTGTTATGTGGTTATCTTGTGGCGTGATAAATGTTGGCTTACAGTACTTGTACAGTAATGTTTTTCTCTAACACCATCATTTGTAACGTTCAGGCGCACCCGCCATGACATCTCGTGGGCTGAAGGAGAAAGACTTCGAGCAGATTGCTGACTTTCTGGAGCGTGCCGTAAACATCACCTTGAAGGTGCAGAAGGAGAGGGGCAAATTGCTGAAGGAATTTAACAAGGGATTGGAAAACAACGAAGAGATCGCTGCCCTGAAGAGGGATGTAGAGAAGTTCTCCATGTCTTTTGACATGCCTGGGTTCGATGTCAACAAACTTAAGTATGGCAACGAATAGAGGCTTGCTTAGTCCATATTTACTGAACGGTAGTTTTCAGTTGATATAGTCAGTCCAGAGAGGTCAGAGGTCTCTACTAAAGCCGTCTCTGGATTGACCTCTCACAATTGTAGTTAACCTCTATTTTTTTAATACTTGCGCATGGTGTGCATTCACCCAACTCTTACATATAATCCACGGATGCTCCATAATGCTATTAATGACACGGATATTCTGTACTGGCCCTTCGAAAAACTTGCCTTGGAGCTGTATACTGATAACTGACAACGGACATTATATTCAACATGATTGCTGCTGTTTGACGGGGCGAATACGTTTCTGAGTGTCTGGAAACATGTTACCTGTCGTGAAACGTATACTCACTAGAAGGGAGAATAATATATTGCAGTATAGATGGGTGAACGGAGATAGTGTGAGTAGTACAACAATATCATCTAAGTCTCAAGGAACAGGAATATTTTTTTGAGTCGAAAAACTTGTCTATCCTTGACCATTAAGGCTCACTGTGCATCAAGATTTTAGAGAGCGTTAAAATATGTTCCATCTTCTACACATACAGGCAGTTTAACGCTCGTCATGCTAAGGTGTAGTTGAAGCTTACATTACAGGGTGGACTACTTCCAAGGAACTAGAAAATTACAAATTAATTTGTCAGCATTAACAACTCTAAAAATCGATTAAAGTGTAAATTAAATTCTAATTTTTCAAAGATTTAGATATCCATGAAAAGACACATTAGAACATGTATTACTAGTAAAACGAAATCTATTTGCGTTATTCAATCATTTGTTTATAGTCTGGCAAATTATACTCCGATAGAAGATCTTCCCTGCATGGATAGAATGTTTTGATAACTAGTTGCGCATTCTGTGTTCTAAATTAAACCCTCCACAGCTTTCGATGTTCTTATTACAATTTCTGTAGGATCTAGCATTCTTTTATATTTTGCATTCTTTTCATTCCTACTTTGTGAGAACTCAAGATCCTTGTTTTTATTTAATTGTTTAGTCCAGAATGTTGTCAAGTCCTTACACAGATCTTGCGAGAGCGAAAAACGAAAAACGAAAAACATTACATTTGATGTACAAAGTAGTTAGAAGTAAAAGTAAAAATCAACTTTCCACTCGGGTAAGGATACGTGCCAGCTTATACGCGACTTCTGTTTGGAAGGCAGGGCAGAGCATTCTGCAAGATGGTCAAGTAGCCGATTTTCAGTTTCGGACGATGCGCAAGCAGATTTCGAGGGAGGAAGGAATTTCAAGCATCAAACTCGATTGATTAGGCTCTGGGTTTTGTTAGGTTTCTTTCCATAGATCAGAGCGGGACGTGTGTGGTCGCTTGATTCGGAGCACTGAGGGAGGAGGATGGAGTCGCTCCTTGCAAGTTACGCTAGTGACGATGAAGATGAGCAGGAGGAGATAACGCCGCGCGTGGAGATTGCGCCAAGCTTGCCCGCGGCCTCCGATGCACCGCAAAAGGTTTCGTTGTTTGGTCGCCTCCCACCACCGAGGAATTCTGGGTCTGGAACTTCTGTACAATCCTCAGGTTCTCTGTTTGCTTCTCTGCCCCCGCCGCAATTCGGGGCCAAATCTGCAGAAGTTAGCTCTCCCTTCCCTACCGCGGATGTTTTTGCCCAGGAATCATCTCGACCCTCGCTGTTCGCAAAGCTACCTCCCCCGAAATCTGAAAAACCTGAAACGTCGGACGGGAACCCTAATCGCGGTAATCTCCCTTCGAAATCTTCTCTGTTTGCAGCTCTTCCGCCCCCTAAGGTTGAGTTTGACAGTTCTGTGGTGAAGGTCGAGACCCCCGACGTGAAACCTAAAGTGAAGAAGCACCCAGTGGCATTCAAACCTCCGATTGATGTGTCTGTTCTTGAGGACGACGATGATGGTTGGAGACCAGCGCATAAGAAGGCAAAAGCTGAGCCCAGTCCGATGATCAAAAGCGGAGGTGGTCTCAGCGCTCTCTTACCGGCCCCCAGGAACAGCCTGGGATCCGGTGCCACATTGGGAGGTGGTGCTGCTTCTGGTGGGCGTCGTGCAGCCATGGAAGTTGGTGGGAAGTCAGTAACGCAGGATATTAAGCCGAAGGCGGAGCCAGTAGTTGTAAACTCCAGGATATCCACAACGTCCGGAGCAATCGATTCGCGTGCTTCCCAAGCCCAAGTTCAGTACGATCATTCCTCGTATGCATTAGATCAGAGCACCGCATTTGCTCCTCAGGTATGTTGCCAATTTTTAAAAGTTCATTATCTAGTGTCTCATTTGTCCATTTTCTGAGGGTGGTGTATGTAACAAGACCAACTAGTGGGATATTTGAGCGAGCGCCCAAGCAAGTATGGTTGTCACCTGCAATAATCAGGGCATGGATTTTATAGATTAGGGTTTCTTTTGTACGGAGTCTATTTCCTGATTGTATGTATTAGTTTGTGAAATCACTCGTCGTTTATTTACCCTTGTATCTGGACTTTCTGAGATTCGGACGGCTTAGAACCGAGTGCCTGCTATATTTTTCTGTTGGAGCTCTCTGAAGATATCAGTGTTATTGAGGATTTTACAGAAACGCGTCGGAGAAGTGTTCTAATTTTGTGTGTGCGTATCAGCTGCCTTCCGAAAACAATTCATATGGCTATTCAGCGCCAACGGAAGCATACACATCCGCGCAGGAGATTCCTCATTCAACATATAATGTCAATAGCCATTACGAACAGCAGGATTGGCAGTATTCCGGGAACGTTCCATATTACGCTAGTCATCCAACTCACGCCAACCATGCAGTAGCGAGTTCTCCACCGGTTGTTGATCCAGTTGCACAAGTCTTGCAGTCTGAGAGAAGAAGAGGTAGAGAAGATAAATTGGCTGCTTCTAATGTGATTGAGGTCAAGCAAGCTGATCTTACTGGCGGAAAAATAAGGGAGGACCAACTGCGAGTAACCGGGATTGCGTTTGGGCCATCTTATCAGGTAAGCTTTGAAGTTTTGATTCTGCTTTTTGGTCAATTTATTTGTGCATGAACTGAAGCTTTTTCATTTCCATTAGAAGGCAGATTATAACTATCATGTCTAGTTATTAGCGTTTCATGGTCCCTTGTAAATTTATTCTTCTATTCTTATTTTTGACGTAGCCGTATTTGTATTTAGGAAACGTGTAGGAGTAAGTGAACATTTTCCTTGTGAAAATCGGCACAATGTGTGTTTTTTCTGCGGCTTTATGTGTTACTTGATGAAAGTGAAAGTGACATCTTAAACTACATATTCTAACTTATTAACGGTGTTTGCTGTTGCAGCCGGTTTCTTCGAGTAAAGATAAGCCATCTAAAGTACACCGAAGAAAGCACCAAATTGGCACCCTTTTGCATGATATGAGGTCAAAAGAAATGGAGTTATTGGAGCGTCGCGCTAAAGGGAACTTGACGAAAGCAGAAACTCATGCCAAATACGGCTGGTAGTGTTAAATTGCAGTCTGATTGTGGTTTGTAGGGAATGATATATTGGGGAGGTCAATTCGCTGCATCCATCTTGTCAGGTTCTTCTTGTGTAGAGTTTTCGACTAGATTTTGTGTTTGAAAATTGAGAAAGAACTGCTTTCCCTCAATTGTTGTGCTAAGTATAGGGGATCTCACTTGGACAGGTATTGCCTAAGCTCTGCAGCCTAAATTGGTAACAAGCTGCGTAAGATTTTCTGCCCAGCTGACTTCGTTGGCCAGTTCATTTCCCTCTAGTAATGAGATGGTATCATGCAGTTTGTCCCCAAGTACCTCCTCAGGCATGCTCTTTACGGGATGCTTATCCGCTCTATTCAAGGTCATTTAATTCAATTGCAGTACTTGACTCAGACCCTCAACTGAGCATACCCACTTTAATCCTACGCCCTTTGAGCCTTTCTGGTTAGGTCTTCAAATTTTTACTTGGCCAATTTCAACAGAACTTCAGGATAGGCTGGAGAATGTATTGTCATGTTAAGCACACCAGAGAACGAGGCTTTAAGCAATGGAGCCGAATATCTCATTTTGAAGAGTCCATTTTGATTTCTTTTTGGGGTTCAAAAGATTGCATGTATTCTTTTGCAACGGATGATAACTTTAGTTGGAGGGTTAGATGTTTCATACCACCAAATTTTTTGTTTTCCCAAACCTTTTGATTCCACAACGATTGGGTACATTCTGATTAACACCAATCTTCAAACAGTTATTTTTACTGATCATTCATATATTTATTATACTTGATGTTGCCAAAAGCCTCAAATCCTACACCATGTCTAATCACAGTTTTCGCATATCGATGTTGATTACAAGCCCAAGGACAACATTGAAAAAGTTACAGAAATGCTCATTGTGAGGTAATATGAGCCAGTAATCTCATTTACGTATGTAGAAGCCTGGGATCGGTGACCCATTTGTAAGAACGCTAACTCTCAATGAACCTACGAACATTTTTGCGTTTGGATCAAGAGCGGCAATCCCAGCGCCATTTTTCAAATGCAACCATCTTCGTCATACTAAAGCTTCTCGGTGAGGTGCATCTCAGTGTGACAGATGAGCTCAAAAATATTCACATGCTAGTTCAAAGTTGTGTGTCGAAATATGAGGATCCTGAGTGGATCGTGTAGCTTTATAAGACGAAACGTGGACGACAGGGGTGGCTCCACTTCTACCCATTCTATCCGCTAAAGTGTTCTCGGTACTTGCAAGCTCTCTGTGTACTATGGTTTCGCAGCCTGTTTGAAGCCACGACCAACTTCATCAATTTCTGCTTGTTCTAATCAATCGAGGACCTACCCCACTGCTTCGACGACCATCTAGTAAGTGGCCAGCAACTTAGGATTCGCACACGGGGAGATTCATAGAACTGCATCTGCTCAGGATGAGTACATGCTTTGCAGGTCCAGCCTCTAGCTGGAACCGTGTCTCCATCTTCAAGGCGCTGCATCAAGGCGTGGGTTCTTCCAATTCGAGTTCGCAGAGAAGGGTTGTGTGTAATGCCAAGCTGAATGCCAATCTAGAGAGCTCTACTGGTAAGAGAGCTTGCCGGGTTTGCTAAGAGAAGTTCTTGTGTTGTAATTTGTGGGCAATTTGGTGGCCGTGAAGTTGGTAACCTTTGAGGTGAAGTGGCCAGAGATTTTCTTTTCTTTTTCTTTGGGGATTTTGTTCTCACTCAAAGTTGCATTGCTTGAGGTTGCAAGCCATGGCGGGCAGAGACGCGAGTTTAGTGTATTCTTTGTGGATGAGGAACGCACTTCTTGGGAGTATTAACATTGTTAGAATTAGTTAATTTTTTTTAGAGCTTTTGGCTGTGAACACTGCTATGTTCTGAGCCATGATGAAATTTTACATGAGCAGAAATCATGAGGTTGGGTAGGAGCGATCTTCAGGTTTCAAAGTTAGGCATCGGGACTTTGCAATGGGGCGATCCTGGTAGCGGATTTGGCTCCACGTTTGGCGAAGCCGAAATCGCAAGTGCCTTTGATGAGTTAATCGCAGGGGGCATAAACTTTTTCGATACCGCCGAGGTATACTTTCAAATGCAGTGTAAGCCAAAATTGAACAGATTGGAAATTTGGTCCTCAGTGGTAGTCACAATGAGATTGCCCATTTATAGGCATTATAAACATTTCGATGCAGGTTTATGGTTATCAGAACATTAAGTCAGGATCATCCTCGGAGCAACTTTTGGGGAAATTTCTGAGGGACATGAAAAATCAACAAGATGTACCACCAGTCGTGGCTACTAAATTTTTCACCATTCCTTGGACAAACTTTCTTGTTGGTGAGCAATTTCAAATCTGACCTAAATCTTCAAACGCTGAACGTTATTAACTTTTCATTCAAGGTGCTTGAAGAACTGACTGAAGGGTCACAAGCATGATCAGTACATTGCAGTGTATGCAAGTCTTCAGATATAGAGAACGATTGAAGTGACGTTGCAGAATGTGAATTCAGGAGGGGGGTTCAGGTTGGGTCGGAAGTCCTTACTAGCCGCTCTGCGAGAGAGCTTGAAGAGAATTGGGAAGGCGAAAGTTGACCTCTATCAGGTATAGAAAGCTTTTCAATCAGTTGAGTTGGTGGGTATCCTAACTTTGCTGTCGTAATTGAGGTGCGCTGATTTTCCTGCTCAATTATGAACATGTAGATACACTTTCCGTTTCCTACTTTCAGCAATGCTGCCCTCATGGAGAGTTTGAAGGAAGCTGTGGAGGAAGGCCTCACTCGAGCAGTTGGTGTTTCAAACTTCTCCAAGGAACAGGTGAGCAGTTGGAGAAGCCAAACCAATGGAGATTAATTACCGATGTGCACAGCAGGGGTCTTGGCGTTTGAGGCCTCCCCGGAATGCAAATTGATTGAGAACAATGCAAACTATCTAAATTTGGTGCCTTAAAACCCTGCTGATAGTTAGCTAGAGAGGGTGGGTAAGTTGTTAAGCCTGTAGTTTTTTTGTTCGAAATTTATTAATTCTTCGATGTCTCATAGATGGAGGAGGCAGATGACGTGCTCTCTCGGTACGGTATACCTTTGGCGTCAAACCAAGTCCGATACAGGTATCGCTTGCTGAAAGGGCACAAGTGACTGGTGCACAATCTAGCTACCTGACTACAGATTTATTTTCCGGAACACTTCTAGGAAGAGTTGACAATTTACTTCGATTTTGTACTCTATTCGAGAGCTCCTTGCTGTGAACTATGTTGTGCACTGGAAAACAGTGAATGTCTAGGAGATGAATGACTGTTAGGAAGACCTTCATTTAAACTCCTGACTTTTCTTTCAATTTCAATTTTCTATACTTCTGGAGTTCAGTCTGATCAGCCGAGATGTGGAGGAGAATGGTCTTTTGAAGGCGTGTAAGGTAATTAAACATAATCTTCTCTTAAATTCAGCGGGTTTAAGTTTTTCTTGGAGCATCATATACAAGGATTCTATGATTATGTCATCGAAACTATGAAATAAGTATCACCACAAGTATGCTACCCCGAGTATTTTGTCCTGGGCCACCGGTGTGTTGATGTAGATTGGAATGTGGAAGGTCAGGATCGAAAGATACAACTCATTGCTTACTCTCCGCTTGCTTCTGGGCTGCTAACGGATAAAGCTTTGACCCGCACTGATGCCAAAGCCACCAATGTATGTATACTCACTATATTCCGTGTCAAATTGGTTTTTTAATGGATGGTATTATTTTCATTTAAATTTTTTAATACTATGATGTTTGGGCTCTTAAATAGATGAAGCGTTACTTAGTTTTTTGACACGTGGGAATGTCCAGATTCAACCCCTTTTAAAGCTGATGCAGTCAATTGGTGCAGAGCACGGTGACAAGTCCGTAACTCAAGTATGGCAACCTAGACTTGCCGTTTGATTATGATATGCTGTAGAATCTATAAAAAAATTGACTTGAATGCTCTTTAGTCATGAGTCTCTACTAAATGTCGATCTATTGGCAGGTAGCTTTAAATTATCTTATGTGTAAAGGAGCCCTTCCAATTGCAGGGTGTGTATCTTCAGTGCCCTATTTATTTTCTGTCTCTTAGTTCAGTAGCTATTATTCATCTTAAATCTCACACTTACGCCCTAAGGTGTACAACTGAAACGCTTTGATATTCAATTACGCTAAACATAAATTGGTCCCATGTTTGTGCATTTTGCTCTCGCAAACATGCATGGTGGATTCATGACGTCCTTCATTCTTCCCCCCAGAATCTGTAATGAATTGGTTAAACGATCACAACCAATTAGTTATGTGCTTATCAGTGTGGTTACAGATTATTCGTGCCTTGAGTTTATCACTGAAGGTGTTTTGCAAAATCAGGTGCAAGAACGCACAACAGGCAAAGGCGCATTGTGAAGTACTCAAATTTAAGCTCACAGATGGCCAAGGTAAAAAAAACTCTGGATGATGTCCCTTTCTTACTTAAGGGTTTAGTGTTGCTATGACTCTACAAAGATTTCCGTTTAGCTTGGGGTTCATTCTTTTCGTGCCCATTAAATCCTAGACATTTTTTTGGACTGGATCCCTTTTTATGTGCAGTGGCTTCACTACAAGACAAGGCGAAGACACTGAAGCTCTAGAATCCTGTTTTCACATCAGGCAGCACAAAAGCCTATTTTGTAAAGACACACTCCACCTCAGCTGAAAAGGTTTTTGTGGGGATGTTGTGGGGAGTCAGAAGACCCAACAATGTGTTCACAGCTTGAATAATACCAAGTGTTTTTGTATCATCATCATATCTTACACACCGCAGTTTTGGTGCAAGTGGAGTTTGTTGGGAATTTTAATGCAATCAAGCACAAACTGTGTTGATGGACTGTCTACAAATGATGGGAAAATATATCTCTTTCACATTAATATGTACAAAAAAATTATATTTAACAAAAATCATGTTCCTTGACTTACTAGCTCAAATAGCTTGGATTTGCTTTGGCATGTTCTCATACAATCTTCTACATTCCTTTGGTGTAATGGAAGCCCAACATTCCTCAATAAGCTTCTTCAATTCTAAAATTCTTTGTTGGAGCACTTTGATATTCATTAACATTCCTCAATAAGCTTCTCCAATTCTAAAATTCTTTGTTGGAGCACTTTGATATTTATTGAGATAGCATTTTAGTTCCTATCAAAAGATCCTCAATTGGATTTAGATTAGAAGATTGTATAGGCTACTTTAGAACATTAAACTTATGTAATCTCCACCATTGGCATATACTTTTTGTTGTATGTTTGGAATCATTATCATGCTAAAAAATCAAATGGGAAGGATCAAGATTACAAGCCATCACATTATATAATCAATATCTTTGCAAGATTTTCTTGTATTGATAGTGAACTATTCTTCCTTCAACTCTACAAATGATGCCAAGAACTTAGAATATTATACAACCTCACACCTTCATCAAACCACCAACAAACTTTACTGTTTGTTGAAATTGTATTAAATTGCAAGATTGTCTATCACAATTCCAATACCAATTGTGACCATCTAAGCAAAATTACTTTACCTTTGTCTCATCAAAGAAAATAATATGCTTCCAGTCACAAATGGTCCAATGTTTATAGCATCTAGGAAATTTTTATTTTATTATAGTTGACTCAATTTTTCTATCAACTATACATATGATAAATTAGTTGAAGCAAAAAAATTATAGATATAAATACTACTGAAAATATTTGAAATAATTATAATAAATCAAAGTTTTGGTTTTTATGATGGATATGGTTAAATGATATGTAAAATTAATTTTTTTAATTTTTAAAATAGTCTTTTTTTAAAAACCAAAGACTTAATTAAAGTTTTAGATCTATTAAAATATTTTTAATATATCATAATATATATTATATAAGAGTTACTATAAATAATATAAAAGATATAAATATTTATAGATATATTTAATATGTCACTATAAAAGATATAATAATTAATGTATTTATATATTTATTTATTTAATTTAATAAGGTCTTTTATATTATCTATTATGTCTATTCAAATTTTATTTATCTTATACTAATATTTTTAATTTAACATAAAATAAAAAAATAAATTATTTTAATTTTTTAATTTTTATTACATTTATAAAAATATTAGTATATTTGGTCAAAAAAATATTTTTGTATTCTATATATATATTTATATTTATATACGTATAAACTACATTATATATTTATATACGTATAAACTATATTATATATTTATATATGTATAAACTATATTATATATTTATATATGTATAAACTATATTATATATTTATATATGTATAAACTATATTATATATTTATATATGTATAAACTATATTATATATTTATATATGTATAAACTATATTATATATTTATATATGTATAAACTATATTATATATTTATATATGTATAAACTATATTATATATTTATATATGTATAAACTATATTATATATTTATATATGTATAAACTATATTATATATTTATATATGTATAAACTATATTATATATTTATATATGTATAAACTATATTATATATTTATATATGTATAAACTATATTATATAGAATTAAAAAATTAAATGTTAAATATATTAATAAATATTTATACTTATTTCTTTTCAAAAAATAAAATAGAAAATAAATTTAACAAATTTGTTTATAACAATATAATCATAGACATACATTGTTTGAGAAAGGTCAAATATGTCTTTTAAAAAAAGGCACACTTATTATTATTTCTAAAAATATTTATAACATTAAATAATAAAAAATATTTTTATTGTACAATTTATTTACATACATGCATACAAATACACAACTATTTAAAACAAAGATTAATCCTGTTTTGTAATTTTAAAATTTATTAAATACAAATTTATACATAAAATCAAAATCAATATATTCAAGTTAATAAGAAATGAGTTTCTACTTTATAATCACAAGCTATAGGTTCACAAGAACTCTAAGATGATTTAGACGATGTTAATAAAAAAAAAAGCCCTCTCTATGCTTAATATTCTATCCATTCATTGTACATAGGAAATGAATGCTTAAATTATTTAAACAAATAGATTGTGTGAATGTTACATATTATTTTTCAAATAATATTAAGAATAAAAAAATAAATGAATATTTAAAAAATATTTGATATTTAAGTTACAATTAATAAATAAATAATATACTTAGGATGTTGTTAATGTCACTAAAGTTTTTGCTACTACCACCACAACTTGCCATCCACTACATACTATCACAACTTTTGCTAATATCTCTACAAATTTCTCTAAATTTGTATTGTACTCTACAATGAACTAAATGGAACACTAAAATACACATCTATTAAAAAAAAAGTGCACTTTACATAACACTTCTAATCCACACCATAGTAGATAAAGTGCACATTCTATATGGATGCATATTTTAGTATTTTATAAAGTATATTTTGGCGTGCAAAGTAAGTTCACGGCAACTTGTGGTGGCATTTGCAAAAATTGTGATGGCATGTGGTGAATGACAAGTTCTGGTGGCATTAGAAACACTCTTTAAATATATAATAAAACTAAAATAAAATCTTCATGTGAAATAAAACTATTGAACAACATGAATCACAAAATAGTAAAAATTTCAATGAGATAAAAACAATCATGATTTGTATGATCACTTTTTCTAGTAAGCACATTATGTAAGAAACTCAAGGAAATGTAATTAAAGTATGAAAACTACTAACAAAAGAAGAGGCGTTATGTTTCTAGCAGGGAACATGATACGGATGCCTTTGTGAAGATGGATGAATGGAATATTGAAGTCATCCGAACCCAATCTTAGTGGATTACACCAATTTGCTCTGCTTTTTCAATGTCGCCAGTTGTTGCAGAGTTTCAAGCTTCTCCATCGCCATCGCCAGCACCTTAACCTCAAGCGCTTCCCACGCACCGTCGAACTGTAGCCCCAGAAGACGCCAGAGAGCGATGGCGGTCTCCACCATGGTGCGCTCTTCTGCGATGTTGCGCAACAGCATCGCGGATGCGCCAGCATCGCCTCTTGGAGCCTTTGAAAGGAGGCCCAGCTGGGTGGCATCGCACCACAGACGGGGCGTGATTTTTGGAGAGGCGAGCGAGGAGTCGTTCCTAGGACAGAGCGTGAGGCTTGCGCACTCTAGGAGCACGGGTTCTGTGAAGAGAGCCGGGAGGTGGATCGTTGAAGCCGCCGCGACTTTTGATACGCAGACTAAAGTCGCGCGCGTGCGCATTGGCACTCGCGGAAGGTTAGTTTCTCCTGGATTTCTGGAACATTTGAGGTATACTGGTTCCTAGTGAATTTTCGGAATTTTTATTGTCACGTTATTCAGAGGAATGGGCGGACACTCCATGCTGATTATCGGAGTTTAGACAACTTGAAGTGAATTTAAATGCAATGAGAGCATAATTACCAAGTATTTTTTAAAAGAAAAATGGACTAAATTTAATTACGTGACATGCTGACATTAGAAAACGCAGCTGAGAAATTAGAACTTGTCTGTAGTGTAAAATTGCAGTGACTCAAAAGAATGTGGTCAGCAGATACTCTAAGGTTTGAAAGTTTTGAAAATGGAGGGAATCCATTATTAAGAGTTTTCTCGATTTTCGAGAGAAAATTGATCTTGTCACTATTCTACCAGACAGAGGTATAGCTTTGGGAAGTGGATGGCACTGGAGTGAAGGAATTGGGGTCTTGGTGGAGAGGGTGTAGAGGTTGAGGGATACGGAAGATTTTGTGGAAGATTTATTCAAGGTACCTCTGCGTGCCTTCTGCAAGTGTTATTTTTAATAGTGCAAGCCGTAACATGAAGTGGACAGCCCTTTGGCACTGGCACAGGCGTATCAGACTCGCGACAAGCTGAAGGCAGCTCATCCAGGATTGGCGGAGGAAGGAGCACTTGAGATCATCATTATTAAAACCACTGGAGACAAGATACTGAGCCAACCGCTGGCAGATATTGGTGGCAAGGGATTGTTTACGAAGGAGATTGATGATGCGCTATTGAACGGTGATATTGATATCGCAGTTCATTCCATGAAGGATGTACCCACCTATCTTCCGGAGGGCACGATCCTTCCCTGCAACCTCCCTCGTGAAGATGTCCGTGACGCTTTCATTTGTCCAAATTACTCTTCACTGGCAGAACTGCCCGAGGGCAGTGTAGTGGGAAGTGCATCCTTGCGGAGACAGTCCCAGATTCTTCACAAGTATCCTCATCTTAAGGTATCTCAGTTCCCTTCCGGAATTAAAACTCTTATTTTTACCTCGTCTTGAGAGTCTATTGTATCAATTGACCCAATACCGACATACTTTGTGGGATAAATGGATACTACAAAATTTTGCCACTTCAGAAATACTTTGCAACTATATAGTAGGACGGTTCATGTCTCCAAATACAATCGAGGTTACTAATGACTAATGCCCGGCAGATAGATTTTGCGGAATTTGTCTCCTAACTATTGTGTGTAAATTATCATGAAACTTTTTATGGTCCCAGGTAGAGAACTTTAGAGGGAATGTACAAACTCGCCTGCGTAAGTTAAGTGAAGGAACAGTGCAAGCCACACTCCTGGCCCTGGCTGGCCTTAAGCGCTTGGACATGACGGAGCATATTACAGCTATCCTTGCAACTGACGATATGCTACCTGCAATTGCTCAAGGTGCCATTGGTATTGCTTGTCGAACTGGTGATTCTAAGATGGTGAGTTGAATAGAGTAGAGAAATTCGCAGCTGTATCAGATGAGATTATTTATTGGTTAATCTCGTGCTTTTAGTCCAAGTCCAATAGCAAGGGATTCTGTGTGTGTATGTAACCATCATATCCCGCGTGGATTAATGGTTAGTCGTCATCGCCAGGTGCAACGGTGCTTCTGAAATTGTGTAGCTTCATCCGGCTCCGGATATTCATCCAATGCGCTCAATTGTTTAGGAGGAGTATCTTGCGTCACTGAATCATGAGGGCACAAGACTCGCAATCTCGTGCGAAAGGGCATTTTTAGCCAAGCTGGACGGCTCATGTCGCACACCAATTGCTGGTTTAGCTGAACGTACGGAGGATGGGTGTTCGTTTCGGGGACTGGTTGCAACTACTGATGGCAAGCAAGGTGTGTCGGAAATCCTGTTGCTTCAATTTATAGCAATATAGCAATTTATAGACCAGTAGCGTTTTTCGCATGCTACTTTCGCGCCTGAACATTACTATGTCTCCCTTTGTTCTCTTGCTTGGATCATATACGAGACTGACTCTCTTCTTGTTTTCAAATCTGGCGTCGTGTTATTGTACACTATTATGAAGTCATTACCGTGTCGGAATGTGTACCAAAACGGATAAGTCCCCAACACCTAGCTTCTTCAGTCATGGCATCTAACTCTCTTTCTGTTGTATCAGTTTTGGAAACTTCACGAAAGGGCTCATTTTCATATGACGATATGATCGCCCTGGCGCAAGATGCCGGAGCAGAGCTCATCTCAAGAGCTGGCCCAGATTTTTTCAAGTGGTAGACTTACTTCGAAGGAGGCAAACTGGTCTGAGCTGGTGGAAAGCGTCAGTACCGCAGAATTGAAAGACATGAATAGTGAACGTAGTCATGAAAATTCAGGTTCCATAAAGAAAAGGGGTGACAGTTATCCGCGGATGTAGTATTCATATTCGGTTCATGGAGACCGGGGTCTCAGTGAGTGATGCCTAATGACGTTTCAATGGAACTGAAGTTATCTGTTAGCATTTTAGAGTGTAACAACGGCTGTTCCTACAAGTGTCACGTAGGAAAAATAATGCTGAATCAGCATATTTGGATTCTCCTCTTTTGTACCAGCAATAGAACATGTGTACTTCAGCAGCCGATTCACAGCTTTTGTAATCTCCCGGAGCAATCCAGGCTTGAATAGAGCTCGAATTTTCTGCTACTAAAACCACTCGTCTAAGCTGAGAAATTTGCCCCACTGGAGTGGCAACGCGGATGTGAGGATACTACTGTGCACCAAATTCAATTCCTCACAACCTACCTTCTAATCGCGGGACGAACTGGGGATACATAGTTAGCCTCATACTCAGATACACCTCCTTTTTCCATCTTCTGCTGGCGAGGCGGGTGGCCTCTGCAAGGGCCGCATCAAAGGTCTCTTTCGAGCTACCGTGAACGGCGTCGACAATGTCTAGATCCTTGGCTTTAGTTGCGGTAAGTTTAGTACCTTTCAAGACGGTCTCAACGAACGCGCGTGGGTTCAATTTGCACCGAATGAGACTCATGACTCGTGGAGGGATGGGAATACTGATGTCCATCTCACTCATGTACACGAATCCCTTGTCTTGGCGCATGTGACGGTGATCGTGAGCTAACGCAAGGATCAAACCTCCGGCAGCGGCGTGCCCGCATATGGCAGCTACAGTGGGAACATTCACCAGCATGAAAGCGCTGAGAAGCCTGAAGTAGGCTTTCGACTGCGATTGCATGCGGGCGCTGACACTGCCGGGAGCTTGATTCACCCACGCGAGGTCCAAGCCATTAGAGAAATACTTGCCATCGTTGGTTGTCAGAAGCGCCGACGCATCCGACTCATTCACGATTGCGAGGTTCCTGATAATTTCGTCACAGAGTGCTGGGTTCAAGCGATGCTCGTCCAAATCGCCCGTAAACCGCAGAATGTAGACATCTCCGACTCTCTCCAAGCTGCACATGGCTGGTCCACTGCCAGGATCATCCCACAAAAACCGTGTGTCATCATCGAACATACCTTGGGATTCGACAACGAAATACCCATTACAGCATAGCAACCTATAGAGCGAAGTCCACGGAAGAAGATTGGCACTCACCAGCAGCATCGAATCCGAAAACCAGCAGCTTTCGAACGCTCCACCAAAAACCCCAACTGCTCCGGAGAGAGAATTTGCAGGAGCCCCAACTCTAGCCAAGCTTCTAACAATTTGGCCTAGATTAAGATTCAGCGGTGGCACAGGAATTGCAACGGTGTCAATGGAGGCGGCTCACCTACCCTAGAGTTGCGTAACGCGTGAGGGAGAGGGGGGTTAGGTGTGTGTGTGTGTTGTGTTTTTTGGAGCTTTTTCTCTCAACATGTGTTTTTTGTGGAACCATGTTGAGTTTAGGTTTTTAGTGGTCTTTTATTTACAGATGGTGGTACTGGTCATGAGCGATACCTTGACCAAAATGTACTTGGGCAGATGTTTTGTAGTGTTATGTTGTTGTTATTGTTCTTTTTGTTCTTTTGCAGTAAGGAGATTATTGTCTTTGGTTGTGACATACAACGGTATCAACTTATTTGCAGGTGTTGTAAGAAATTATGTTGTAAGTTACGGCAGTTGGAGTTGAGTATATCACAATCAGAAGTAGTGTGATAGGGTGATGAGAAAATGCAATGGTATTGAGTTTTGTTATCTGAGGACTAAAAATGAAGCAAAATCATTCTGGTCGTGAACTTGAATTCAGACCTTGTAGTATATTAAGGTCATGTACTTTCTATTCTTTTTTCAATAAAATGGGTTATTTCTTTTTTCAGCAACTTCGTCAAAATATCCACAATTTTTTTCTTTCTTAAAAGAGTGTTTATAACATCACATCTACTTGTTTCAATTTTTTGTGATGTGTAATTATGTTGTTAAATTACAAAGCATTTAGATTTTCACAAGATAGGTTAATTAATGTGAAAGTTTGACCTTTGATGCAAATTAGCTATAATTGCAACTGAGTGATTTTAAAAAGCCTTGCTCAACTGTTATTTTTGCACTTCTTGACGAGATTACAGTTATTATTTGTTTCTCTAAAGTCAAAAATATTTGGCCCCTTATCAATTTAAAAATCTAGTGTGATTGAGAAAATTTTAACTTTTCAATTCTTTAAATTTGTACATTTGCATCCAAATTTAATGTTATTTGAATTTTAATGGTGTATAATTTTATGTTTTATAATTTCATTCACACAATTTAATATTTGATTGGTTTCTTGCAAGTGTCATGTTTTGATTTGTGTATGCATTTGCTTAATAATCCAACAACAAAAGATACATTAGATTGTCAGCCTAATTCATAAATAATCATTCTAAATAATAGTTGGTATTATTTAGAGTTGATTAAAGAAATATCATTATTTATTACAATTTTTAGAGTTTTTGTTATTTATGATATAATACTCAAAATAAAATCATGCATTTTGAATACTCAATTAATATTTGTTGAATGTCTTTGCATTGAATCCTAAAGAATTTCAATTATATGATATCAAAGTACAAAAATATTAAAACCAAGTTAGTCATTGTGATTTTCTTTTTGTTATATTATATTTTATTTAAATTTTTATGATACTAAAGAATCCATAGTCAACTAGTATATATATATATATATAAGTTTTAAAATGTCATTATATTTAGGATTATCATTAGTATTTATTTTTTATTTTTTGTGCTATCACAATAAAGAATTTATTGAACTATTTTCTTTTGATTATTTAGAAACTCATTGTATTAATATATGACTTTGATTTTAGAGATCATTTTTTTGGTCTTTTTTGTCATACTTAATTATTATTGATATTCATAATTTTATTCTTTAAAAAAAAAAAATTAAAACATTCTAATGATTGTAAGACAATTTTTGCATATGTTTATAAAGTGTTGTAGAAGAGCATATAAATTAGATTATTAGTACACATTTGGTCAAACTAAATACAATAACTTTCTCTTAATGCAATAATCAATTGTAGTTTTTTCAATACTTGATTCTTATAGGAAATATTATTGTTTCTCTTTCATTTTTTAATTATTAAATAATAATAAAAAATAATCAGAACATTAATTTTTTATTAAAGGAAAATATTCAAACCATTTACCTAAATCTTAAATCAACTCACCTTATTCCCATGATTCAATCTTTGTGACTAAAAAAACTTGTGAATTCAATAGACAATGAAAGAGATGAAGCCAAGATCCTCAGAGAAAAAAATGAATTGAGGTCTCTCTTACACTGCCTTAGGATAGCTCTAATTATAAAGCACTCTTGGATACTTAATTCCAATACTTATATTGTAGGGGCACATCCTCACCCAATACCATCTATCTCCTCTCCCTCCTCTCCTTCCTTCCTTCCTTATGCCTAAAACATGGTTGCTACATCTTCAAATTTGCCAAGAAATCAAGGTAGAATCATGTAAATGAATTTGTAGGTTTTTCTATTCTCAAATTAGTGAAGTAGTTGTAAAGATTGAATCATAGGAGTAAGGTGGATCAATTTAAGATTTAGGTGGATCAATTTATGAGTTGAATCAATTAATTTAATATTTGATTTAAATGTGATAAGAATTTTTGAAGTAACTTAAGAGTAAGTAATGAAAATACAAAACTACTAACAATTATATCCAACAAGCACCTTGTGATTTCTTTATTAAATATAAAAATAAACGCCATATATGTACTTTTGGAATAATAATTAATAATTTTTTAAAAATTATGTTTTATTTTACTAAATTTTCAAATTTGGCTTATAAATCTAACTTAATTTATTAGTATTTTTTATTTATATGTTATTACATTTGATTTACTTGGTTTTTAGACATGAATAACTTTAAATAGGCCACATCTTGGATTTTCTATTGCAAATAGTATTTTGTTAGACACAATACAAAATTTATTATTTTTTTGTCTATTGTCTATAATATGCATATTAGATTACATTTTTTTTGCTTTTCTTAAAAACCTAAGATTAAAGAGTTTTGCAACCAATTCTTGTTGTCACATGATATGGCATTGGGTGCCAAACCTTGTCAAATGTATGTAATTTAGTTTAGTTTAGTTAGTGGTTTTTCATCCATTGATGGTTTTTTTGTTAGTTGATTTGTTCATGTCAATTAGGATTTGAGTACTTGAGAAAAATCATTGACTAGACATCCTTGTCAAGTCAAATTTAGTGAGTGATTTTAACAGTGAGAGAACTTATTGTCAGGGTTTGCCTTAGCTATGGTGTTTTAGCCATTTTAGTAAAGCTTTAGATTTTCTCTTATTTCCACACTTGCATCCCCCCTTTGTGGCGTGAGATAACTTGACTTAGTTTGGTATAGGTTTCTAGTCTTTCACTTCACAAGAATCTCTCTGCTTCAAATTGTGTATAGCAAGTTAGAATGGAGTAGATTAAAAAAAATAAAAAATAAATCCGGTTTTAGACTGAAACAGTGCACAGGGTCGTGGCGTCGGGCAGTACAAAGATAGTGTAAATAGCAAGTCACGTCGCCAGACAGAGCCCATCGGGGCAGGTTACGGTGCGGGAGCTCGTTGGCACAGAAGAGGCGCGGTTGCTGGAGCTTGTTGAGGGTCGCGGCAGGAGAATGAGCTGCGGCGGTGTGGAGTGCTAGTGGGGCACCGGGCTGCGGTTATTTCTTTTTATTGTGTTGGGTGTTGTACAAGGTGTGGTGCGGGACAAGGCACTGTCCGCACGGCGTCCAATTTTTTTTGTGCGCTACAATTGCGATGCGACGCAGAAGGGCCTCTGGCGAGATTAGAACTTGTTTCCGTTGCTTGGTGCCTCGCAATATTGACATGGTTTCATTTGCACGAGATATGTTGCTCGCTGTCGTCTGGATTATTGTGTGACGATAGGATACTGAACAAGGTGTAAGGTCAATAACACCCGTAGTCATAGGACCATAACGATGATAGAGCCACGGTGAAAGGATTCTACGGTAAATACACCTTGCGCGGTTATAGGCACAATATTTAAATAAAAAATATAAATATAAATATAAATAAACACATCATCCAGAATTCTTAAGTGTTAAGTTTGGAAGCTCACTCCAAGGGCATATGGAGTCCAAATTTGATTATTTTTGAGTCAATTTTATGTGGAAGAGGCCCAAGAAGTCTATTGGCATGTTTGGAGTGAGTTCAATTTTTAGAGGTCATTTGGAGCATTGAAGTGGCATTTACTAAATATTGATTGCTTTCTAAATGAGTTTTTGATTTTCTCTCACTTCTCCACATTTCTTTTTATTGCAATTATCTTTTATTATCACAAGTTTTGTGATTTGTGACCATCAATTGCATGCGAGTGCTTATTGCTTTAATTTACTTTTGACTTTTGCTTATGTATTGTTAGAGATGAAGATCTAATATAGATTTTTGAATTTTGTTTTTAGTACCTTCTCCTAGTTGCAAGTATTATTTCCAAAGGTTTTCCGTATTATCCCATTTTATATTTGTACTAGTTTGTGCTGATAGACATACTGTAGGGATGAGGTTGGATTGATGGTTAGCAAAATCCTTTTGTTTGTGGATATGTTAGACCTATAGTAATCTAGAGGTGATTGCCAGTGAACTGCAAAGCTCGGTGGTTTTGTAGGCACAGGTTGCCCTTTTTGCCTTTAGATAGTTGCATGTATCCAAGTAGTTCCTTTTATGGTGCATACTAAGTGTCAATATTATTGATCTCCTTCACTAGATTATTTGGATAGTCACCACACTAAAAACTTCAAGCCAAGAGTGGATACTAATGAGACTTTTCAACGTGTTGCAATACTGGATACCACTCAAAGGCATTGGGTTCTAAAGGTGGACACATTTTATGAGATGGAAAGCGATCCTTATAACATGGTGAAGAATAGATTCTCAAGAAGAGTTGGAGGCATTTCTTTGTCAGATTGGAAATTCAAATTTTAAACATAATTCAAGGAGAAGCATCAAAGATCTTCCACTTTTAATGAGTGGTATACCTTTGAGCTTTTAACACAATACTTGGAGCATGAGACACTCCAAACTTATGAAAAATAGAGTAAGGAATACTTACTTGAGTTGCGTAAAGTGGAGTATTATTAAGAGACATGCATAGAACTTATTTCATTTCTTAAAGATGTTGTTTCAAGCTTTTTACTTATGGTGAAAGAAGAAGATCCAATCCAAATAAAAGTTAGTATATCTTTGAAAGATATCAAAGGAAAAGGAGTAGCTACTTCCTTAAGTAGTACTCTAATTATTTTGTCTTGCATGGTTTAAGCAATAAAGGTAGTTTTATCTGCAATAAAAGAACCACCATCATTTGAACCTCTCCAAATATTTATTGAGCAATTAAAGTACAAGTATGG